AGATGGAGTTGCTAGTGGTACATTCTATACAATGATTTCCAAGTTGGGCATGCGGGATATCTATGCACCAACTTGAGGGGGAGAGTTGATATATATATTAATCTTTGTTAGGGACCAATTTGTAGTCTTTCTTAATTGTTAGGGACTATTGTGCAATTTCCCTTTTTCCTTTCTTTTCTTTTATCCTCTATATACTTGTAATATTCTAAATTAATCAAGGAAGTTTTTACCTCCAAAATCCGACTATTCTACTACAACTGCATAGTTCAGATCACCTGATTTATCTCTCCAAACAGTAACAACCTTCTCAAGCAAATTTTGGTCAATTTTAAAAACATAAAAAATCCTAATTCTACTTGTTCTTTAAAAGTCGCATCAACTACACTACGTAATTTTAGGCCTTTCATCAGTAAAACCTTATCAAACCTATGGAAACTTCCCTTCTTTTTACTCCCACATCGTGTTTACATTGACAAACAAAGTTTTGAAATTTAGTTCCAGGAATCAGCCTTCCTTTCTAAGAAGAAAAACATGACAACCAAATTATCAAAACAAAGAGTTGTAACTACATGGTCCTCATAGAATTCCAATCTATAAACTTCAGACTCCAAATTTCTGCCATGTTTTACCCGCAGTGGAATATTCAGCATTTTTAAACTTCCCCCAAATAGAATCATTCAATTAATTCTAAACTTAGTCATAGACACTCGCGAGCTGATGAGCAATTCATCAAATATAGCCTTTTTCAAGACGCGGGCTAAACTTTTAGTATGATAATAAAATGAAAATTCATGTAAGCCATAAAAGTGAAGACTTCTATAAATCCCCATATATCACAAAATTCCATCATATAACTTTGAATTTTACACAAGGATCAAATTATTAGCTTTCTTAAACGCAATTTGTGGGCCCATCGTGGCTCCATAGGGGAATATTGGATTCGAGGATAATTTTAGTATTTTTTAACACTGGGTCCAATAATAGGGCCCATAGTTCCATAGCCCAGTGACCACCGGCACCTCCGTACCCTACTTGATGTAACCACGTATCCCGTGCCACCTTATTTATTATAGAGGTCATCTAACTTTGAAAAAAAAAATCATTTTAGTCCCTAATTCATTTTATTCCAAATTTTGTTTGTCTTTTATTTTATAGCTAAATGAATTTCAAAGGTTTATTTTCATTTAAATTCGGCTGAAAATTAGAGTCTTGAAAAGCAATTTGAAAAATATTCCTGCTAACTTCTGCAATTGTCTCTTCCAAGTGGAATTCCAAGAACCTGCTCCAAGGCCTTGTGCTCTTCCTGCGCTTGTAATCCAACCTCTCCCAACCTTCAGCAGCCTCTGACGTTCAACTAAAAAAATACCTTATATGACCAATACGAAGTAGCTGGTGTTTTAGATTCAATGGGTTTGATGTTTTTTTTCCCAAATGTGTGGTTATATAAAATCAAGAGTGAAATGATGAAATCAATCTATGAATAGACTCTTGAATATGTTATAGAGAAGAGACACAATGAACAACCACCCTGATTTTCGTGTATAGGTTTGTGTATTTATAAGAGAGAGTAATTAGGTTGCATGAGTTGAAAAAAAATACTTCAAAATAACAAATTAGGATTTTTCGGTTCGACCTGTCGCTAGAGCGAGGGCTCGGCTACAGGCAAGCGACATACTGTCGCTTGAGCGAAAGCTCGGCGACATGCGGGCGACAGACATTTTGTTTTCGTCACTCAAGCACCAATTGGGTGAGAAGCTAGTGAAAATGAGGCGTTGTGTTTCTCATTTTCTTATGTTCGAACCCTAAATCTCATAACCCAATTTATACAAATTGCACTCTAGATCCTTAACTTTTACAACACATTACAAATTAGTCATTTTGTCCATAGAATTGCCAACACTAAAAACCTAACAGATAGTAGTTTTTAGAAATACTACAGAAAACTTATAGTCCTATGTTTTGCCAGCACTTTGGTCATTTGATTAATGGTGCATATGAATGGAATGAATTTCAGTAAACATATGTCCATGCTCTTATTAATTTTCTGCATAAATGGCCGATCCATCTTATTACAATTTCCAGATTGTTTCGAAGCACGAATTGATTGCAATTTGATGGATGTCTTTCTCTTTTTACAGGCATTTAGTTTTGCAGGGAATGTTGGACCCCCCTAGAGGTATGATGATACAAGAGAGAGACTCCAACCATACATTGGATAGTGGTGCTAGATTCAGTCATCGAACCACAGTAGATGCTATTGATCACTCTCGTCAAAATAGTTATAGGGACAAGGATGACGTCAATAGTGGTATGTTTTTGGCTAGCCGTCTACGTTGCCAAGGTAGAATTGTTTTTGGTGCCTTTTCTATTAGACATTTAAGTATGTTTTCCTATTTAGTTTTTGTGTTTTCACTGCAAGTGT